CGTCATAAGAAAGAGAAACCACCCTCTACTTTGATTAAGCCATTGCTTGAGTTCTCTGACAGGGATCTAGCTCCAACCAATACATCATGCTGTGAAACCAGCTCACGCGGGGACTACTGGGTGATTGCCAGCTGGAGGGCTGTAACTGTCGTGTTGATAACCTGTACTTAGTAGTAAGTGCTTGCTTGTTGCTGGCCTTGCACACCCCAGAAGTGCCATGGGGGTTGGGACGTTGTCTTACTTCCTGCCTCTTCTCCAGCACAGAGCCAGGCACACAGTAGACTAATTCCGTATGGTTTTACTGAATGAAGGGAAAGGGAAAATCAGAGGGAACCCAGCAAGTGCAATCAGGGGTGTCCAGAAGGAAGCTCCGGGGCAGCCTCCCCATGAGCAGGCCCTTGGCAGATGCCCTCCTCAGCCTTGGGACACCTCTGGTAGCTCAACTGGGTGTCCCAGGTTACCTCCATGCTCTCCTCAAACCCTTTGCAAAGTCACACCCCACCTGAGACTTCCATACCAGGATCTCTAAGGCTGCTCCAGGCCCTGTGACCTGTGAACTGCTCCCACTGGCTCTAGTTGCCTTCATTCTCAGGTCCTTTCTCCTGCTCAGGCTGGTCTTCTGAGGCCCCATCTGTGTCACCTCTACCTCCTGGATATGTTATGCTCACCTCTAAGTATTTGTATCTTAACCTGAACACCTCACACCCCACGTGCATTTCTTTCTCTGATTCATCAACCTGCTCTCCGCCTCTATAGATTTGCCTAATCTAGACGTCTGTATCAATGGGTTCACACAGTCTGTAGCCTTTGGTGGCTGGCTTCTGACACAGCGTGAAGTATTCAGGGTTCATCCATGTTGTGCATGTGTCAGCACTTTCTTTATATGGCTGGATGTGCCGCACATTTGATGGTTCATTCATTAGTTGATGGGCATTTGGGTTTCCAATTTTTGTCTATTGTGGATAATGCTGCTATGAACATTCTTGAACTCAGCCAGTGAGAAAGCGTCACCAGCCTGAACTCTTGGTTTCCTCCAATGGGCTTCCTCCTTTGTCTCTGCAGCTTCTGCCTTCTTCTCTGTAAAGTGTGTTCCTCTCCTTCGTTTGCTAGGTTTGCCTATAGTTTCTGCTGTAGCACGCTTATCTCAAATTGCAATTCTCTGGTATTCCCAAATACCCACCCCCCACCCCGCCGCCTTTTTTTCCTGAAAAAAGGAACTGGACGTTTTATTTTTAAGGTCAACATTACCTTTGCTTAATTTCCAGAGTTCAGAAAAAGTTGACAATTTTTGCTAGATTTTTTGCCGTTAGGGAGAAGGGGAAGACAAATTTTCCGAGCTCCTTACTCCTCCGTTTTCACTAAGGACTGACACTAGTTTTCGAAGGTCCTTGGCTGCCATGCTCCTGGTTTCTGTGGCTGACAGTTTCTAGGCATAATATGTGCCTAATAAATCCTTGTTGTTTGGACGAGGGAGAGCAGAGTGTTCATCCTAGAGAAGCCCCCCTAGCCCATGCGGGCCAGGGCAGGGGTGAGGGGCCACAGCCCAGAGGCCCCCGGCCTCCCCGGAGTGCCCTCCTTTTTCTGGAGAGGGCCAAAGGGGAGTGCGGGAGGGTAGAGGCGGCCGAGAGACCCCCACCCTACTGCTCTAGGAGGCCTGTCTGCCCTGAAACCCAGAGGAGCCGGATACGCTTCGCCAACGCGCCAGGTCAGGGCATGCGGCTGGACGAAAGCGCCCCACGACCTCGGAGATTCCCTGGGGTCCCGACCGACTATAGCCGCCCTGGCACGGCGGGCGCATCACCGCCGAGCCCCGGAGATAAGCGGCCAAGACGGAGAAACGGGTAGTTGGGTGTTGTCACGACAACAGGGAAACGCGGCGGGGCCCCGCCCAACATCCGGTTTCCACGACTACTGGAGCAGCGCGGCCAGGCGGGGCCCCGGCCCTGAGGGA